GCCAAAATATCTTTGTATATTTATATTTTTTTCAATTAATTTAATCTAATTTTTTTTCTTTTCTTGAAAACATATATACTTGTTTAATTTGTCTTTAAGTATTTTTATTGCCTTCACCAAATCTATCAATATTATCGTTTATAAAAGTTTAATGGAAAAAGTGTTTCACTTAAAAACACATCTACCTTCTTGCAGTAACCTTTAATTCTAATCGTTTTTCAATTTGTTATTGAAGTAATTTTAACTATTATATTCAGTATGGATTTATGAGAAGCTTAAACTTCCATTGATAATATAATCTCTTTCTAAAACCGAAAAAACAAAAAAAATATTACAAATCTACATGATATGACTCGTAAATCTACATGATATGAACAAGTTCCTGGTAATACTAAACTCGTATAGAAAGATCATAATTTGAATAAATCAGAAAAAAAAATCTCCATATATCTTGGATCAATTCAATTGATAAGACTCTCCATATATATTGGATTACGTCAATTTTTATCTATTATTTTTGTTTTTGTTTTCTTTCCAAAATATCTTCGCATATTTATATCTTTTCCAAAAAATCCTATGTAAAAATTGTTTTTGAAAACACATCTATTTGTTTGATTTGTCTCCCTTTAAGAAATTTTATTACATTCACCAAATGCATCGATATTATTGTAATTGAATTGTTTATAAAATATTTAATGGAAAAACTGTTCTACTTTAAAACACATCTACATGAGGAAACATAAATTCAGGAATGATTTAAGTACAGGAGAAAACCTAGTCTCTCTCAAAGCGGTGATAATACTGTAGCAAGTTCAGAAGGTTTTATCAATCTTGGTCCGGCGATGGCGGCTTCCACAGCGCTGGTGTCGGATCCTGTGTTTTATGCTTTAGATTTCATTTCTTTGTGTAGTGCTTTTCGGATCTATAGGAGGTTTTGAAGAGATAAGATATGTTTCGATCCGTCTGAATTCGAAAGTGAGGTGATGGACTCTGATCTGTTAGAGATCGGGATGGTGGTTTGGTTTTCTCCGGTGCTGGTCGATGATGTGAGGAGGAGGCATGACTCCTCTCCCTTGGCTTTCGCTCGGAGTTTCGTCCGCCGGTGGCAAAAGCTTCTCTCCGAGCTTTAGGTTGCGGTAAGGGGTCTGTCATTAGCTGAGTTCTAAGATCTCCGTGTCACCTGTTGGTGGTGCTGGTGGTTTTTGGTTTCGGCTTGGTATAGATCTCGGGTTTTGAGATGGTTTCTTGGTAGATTGAACTTGAAATTTCGGTCTAGAAATTTATGTTTCTTCATGCCTCCTCCTTGGTAGTTTGAACTAGAAATTTCGGATTCTCTATCTCCGGGCTTGGTTTGTCCGTTAAGCTCTTTATCTCTGATTGGTATTTCGGTTTGGCTTCTCTTCTCAAGTTTGTTTCATCGGTGAAGGTATTGTGGAGTTGTTAGTGCAAGAGGTTGATTTCTCTTTGGTGATGATGAATATGTACTCGGGTCTAGTCTTCCCCGACCAACAGCCTAGTGTCTTTGCTCTCNGTCTTTTCCGAATAATTCTTCTTGCAGCGATGCATTTCAACAGNTTTNCCTCAATGATATTGGGTTGAGTATCAGTGAAGAAGCATCAGAGTGGTTTAGATTCTGTTTGGTTATCTTGTTGGTGATCTTCTATGCTTTGGTTTCTTACTGCTATAGTCATCCTCAGGTTGGTTTTATCCCTAGTCACGGCCTATGAAGGATGTGGTTTCTAGGTTCTCTTCAGCTCCTGCGATCCCGTCTCCCCTTAGTGATTTATAGGTTCAGAGTTGGCTTCCCGTCTCTACCTTATGTGTTAGTTGTAAGTTTGCAAAATTGGCTTTGGTTTGATTGGATTTTCGTAGTTCGGGGTTTAGGTGGATTCGATATGTTTACATTGGATTTTCTGTTGTAACGTTTGTCTCCGATGTCGTTCTTGTGGACATCGGCTTCGTATTTCATTCTCGTATTTCACAACCGTATCCCACCCTTGTATCCCAAAATCGAATTTCACCAAGTTTAATAGAATATTTTCAGAGGAAAAAAAAATAAAACACATCTACCTTGTTGCAGTAATTAATACTAGGTTTTTACCCGCGCCCAGCGCGGGTACTACATTTTAAGAATCAATTTTTATTTTATATAAATTACTATTTTCATTGTATCTAGGCTATATCTACCTTTAATATTTATACCGAACTAAAATGAATTGAAATGAATAATCTTAATTTATTCTTTGTTATTTATACATATAAATTTATATTTTTACCAAATTAAAATTCACCAAATCAATATGTGAGACTAAATAATTAAAAACATACTGGGGAAACAATTTTATTTTTTTTTGCAAATTAAAAAAAACTAAATCCAAAGAGTGGGAAGCCTTAACCCTAATAAACTAAACAAAATCATGGGTCGGTTCAGCTCAAGCACGAAATATAACTCGTATACGTAGTGTTCGGTTCGTCTTGGCGGGTGGTTTATATTCACATCGCACTTATCATCCTCATATAACTTTCTAACGAGATTTATATCGTAGGATCGTCTATCACTATTTTAAATTCATTTCGTTTAATATTTAGTTTTCATACAAAAATAAATTTTCATTCATATTTATTCTAATTTATACATATACCATTTATATTTTTAGGAAATTATAAATTCATCAAAAATTATTATTATTTTGGAAACTAAAAGGAACTTAACCCTAAGAGTGGGAAATTTTAACCCTAGGGAAGCCTTAACCATAACAAACTAAACAAAACTATGGTCGATTCAGCA